CAGCTCCCATCTTGTTTCCGGTGTACACGCGTATTGTGTACTGCACCATCTCAACTGAAGGTCGTTGTTCATTTCATATTGTACTCATCTCAATTATTAACATCATTGTTGAATCTTTATTAATAATTAATAAGAGAATAAAAATAGTTTGTCATTTATTATTTACTTCATTTAGTATTTTATATAATTATTTTTATTAATTTATTCAAATGATAGCCATGCAACAATGTAAACATTTGAATAAATACAAAAACTACGTTGTGTTGAGTCTATAGTTAAGAAAATCTACTCAACTTCAAACGGACCGCAATTTGCAACAACTTTTAATTACTTAATTTATTTATTTATCACATAATCAAAAATAACATTATCAAATATGTCAAATGAAAATGGCAAACTCTGTTTAGAGCTTTTCCGACTACTGTCGCCACTGGAGTCATCGTCGCGAGTGCTGCTGCGACTTTTTGAAGCGAAACTACTACCACGTCTGTTTTTAATGTCGCCGTTGTCGTCGCTGCCATTGCCACGCGGCAGTAACGTTCTCGATATCTGCCCGTCGTCTTCGTCTATGGCTAGCCACCGTTGGCAGTTGAAGAAGTATCTGACGTGTTTTTGTTGTTGTTGCGTTTTTATTTGTTTAATTGTTGATTTAATAAATTAAACATTTTTTCATTTATTTGATGTCACTAATTATAGATAATTAACTAATTAATTTAATCATCGTCACAAGATACAGCTTTAATCGTTGTCATTCAACCAATAACCATTAAAGTTTCAATTAAAAATTAACAAACTCTTTGTTAGATTTAGTATCTTCTACGGTTACATTTTCAAGGAACCATCCGGCACTTCCGCCCTTGTTATCATGCCTTATTTGTAATCTTTCGATAGTTCCGATGTCGATGGCCGATATTTTGAATACGTCAGTCTGGTGTTTCAGAGGTGTGTAATTTTTTTTCAAAATAATATTTTTTTAAAGTTGAATATCTTTTACACTTATTATTTTAACTTAATTTGCATTTGCCAGGCAAGATCGAATGGGGCAATCTTAACTGAAAAATTATGCTAAAACTGCATGTTGAATTATAACAACATTAGAACGATGTATTGCACAACAAAAACAACAACAACTAAAGTAACGTGAAGAACTACAAACACTGCTAAAACAACACAACAACAACAACAACAAAAACAACAACGTCACCACCACCACTACCAACAACAACCATCACAACAACAGCAACAACAACAATAACAACAACAACAACAACTTAACCACCTGTTTCCTCTCAAACTTGTTCTTATTGTTAGACTCCTTCAAATGCAGCTCCCCAGTGTCGCCGTGACTTCCAACAAGTGTCACGTAAACGTTCGCGTCAGTTCCCGCCCCAAATTTATTCCCGGTCAGAACTTTGATGACGTATTCGATTTCTAATTGGTTGAAAGACAAGCTATCAGTTGGGTGACAATGGGGTAGTTTGGGGTTGAAACCCTCCCCGCAACGAAAAAATTAGTCAGGGGTAAGGTAAAATTTATAAAATCCCAATAACAATTTAGACTGAAAACTGTTGAGACCTTCTCTCTTTCACTGAAAAATTCATGGCTTTGTTTTACTGGTATTCATGGTATTACTACTAATTAAGTCGTTTAAATGAAATTTCAACATTTATCAATGTCATCATTTTTCTTACCATCTTTTAATCATTGTCTTCAATGTTATCGTCTTTCTTATCATCATTTTCGTCGTCTTCGCTATCTTATTAGCGATGATCACAATCATCATCGTCATCATTGATATCATTTTCAAGGTCATTATCATCATTTTCAAGGTCGTTATCATAATTTTCAACGTCATTATCGTTATCATAGTACATTATCATCGACACCGTCATTATCACATCAACAACAACGTGGTTATTATCCCATCATCATCATCATCGTCGTCGTCATCATCATCATTCATCATCACCACTGTCGTCGTCATCATCATCGTCATTGCCATCATCCCCACCATCATCATAATTGTTATCATCATCCCCATCATCATCATCATCATCATCGTCATCATCCTCACCCTTCAACTTGTTATCTTGAAGAACACCATTGATTGTAGCTGGGGTGAGTTCCCTCACAATTTTACCATCGTCTTCATTGGTTGCTAGCCATCTGCTACAGATGAACCAATATTCCTCAATATCTTCATCATCATTATCGTCATCGTCATCGTCGTCGTCATCATCTAGTGAGCTATTATTGTTGTTGTTGTTGTTGTTGTAGTTGTAATCATCGCCATCATCGTCGTCGTCGTCTTCATCATAATGACGTTGTTGATGACGTAGACGATGATGTTGTTGTTGTTGTTGGGTACTCATTTTACGTGATTGGCTGGTTCGTTTGCTGAAGTAATCAGGCGTGTTGTTGTTGTTTGATGGCTGGTAGTAATTGTGAGAATCTTCTTCAATGTCATCCTCATCGTCGTCATCGTCATCTCTGATGTAGTTGCTGAATCTGCGGTTGTTGCGGCTGTCTGATGGATTGTTGTGCCTGCTTGAATCTCGTCTCTTTTGCGGTGGTTGTTGCTGTTGTTGTGACGATTGTCTTCTTTGTTGCAAGCGCTGTTTTTGCTGCTGCTGATGTTGGTATTGTTGTTGTTGTTGTTTCTTACGACTGAACCTCTCATCGCGATCTTCATCAAAACTAACACTCAGTCTACTTCTACTTCTGAAACTATCGTCAAGATTCAAATTGCTGTGGTGGTGGTGGTGGTGATTGTTGCTACTGTCGGCGCGGTTGCGATCGATATCGCGTTTCAGTGACGATCGTTTGAGGCTTGAATTAGACAAGATTGATGAACTTGACGATGTCTTTTTCAGTTGTTTTTTATGTTGTTTTGATGCTGCTGCTTTGTAGTTGTTGTCGTTGCGTTTGTTACGGCTGCGGCCGTCATCGCCGTTGCTGCTATTACCGCTACTGCTGCTACTAACGTCGTCGTCGTCGTCATCGTCATCGCTATTTATTTTTCTCGTTGTTTTACACTGTATTAAGACCTTGAAATTTGTATAATTTAATGGAATAACTAAGAAGATAGGACTAATAAGTGAATGAAAAAGTAAATAAAAAACACCAAAGCACCGAAACAGTCTTGTAAAAATATCAGAAGATCTTTTTGGTTTGCGAAGGTGAAAATTCATGTTTGTGTAAGTAAGTAAGTAAGTAAGTAAATGGTTTTGGAACCTTTTCAAGGAACCATCCAGAGAAGGCACCCTTGCCGTCGTGGCCGATGCGAATCTTTGATATCTTCCCAACGTCAGCTGCCTCGACCTTTCCACGTTGCAGTTTGGAGTTTTACGTTCATTGGTTATATTTAAAGTTTCAACAATTTTAATTGTGAGTTATTTATTTTTCAAGGATTTTATTTGTTTCATTTTACACTTTATGATAATTCTCAGTCTTTATCTCAATCTTGCATGTTATAAATTTTAAAAATTAGTTGTGAAAGAGTTAATTCGACCAACAGAACAAATCAGTCGGTAAAAAAAATTAATCCACCCAACAATTTAACTGATCAGTTTTACCAATTAATCATATAACTCAATCAGTCAATAAATTTCAAAAGCCAAGCGACCAACCAGTCTCCTGACAAACTGACCGACCGACCATTCAACAAACTAACCAGCCAAACAACCAACCAATGAACCAACCAACCAACCGATAAACCAACCAACCAACCAAACAACCAGCCAACCTTGAACACATCCTTTTTTCCCCTCTCAAAATTATCAGACTTGTTCCTCAACAGCATCTCTTCAGTTTTAAGGTTTCTTCTGGCACCATACATCTGAATGAAGACGTTCGAATCAGTTCCCGCTCCTCGCTTGTCACCCGTCCATATCGTTATGCAGTAAGCTGTGTGTGTGTGCGCGCGTGTGTGCGTGTGTGAGTATGCGTTTGTATGTGTGCGTATGTGTGCGTGCATGTTTGTATGTGTGCATGTATTTCGGTGTATTCAAAAATATTGTGTGCGTGAATGCTTTGTCGTAATGTGCCTCATGTGAATATATGTTTCACTTTCAATAATGTTATAAACAAAAGAATTCTTATAACGACTCAAATAATTCTTTATTTTCCTTTACTACTTAAATAAAGAAAATAATTCGTTGAAAAAATTTAAAAACGAAACGAGATCATGAAACTTTTTTCAGCTGCGAGCATCTTCAGCTTCCCCGGATATAGCTCTCTCTCAATCAGCCCATCGTCTTCACTCTTGTCCAGCCAGCGATGGCAGGGGAAGTCGTACACCTCCCCCCTGCTTGGCACCTTCACATGCACCGACTCCAGGAACCACCCCGAACCTAATTTCGATCCGTCGTGGCCGATCAGAATTTTCGTGATCTGAAATAGGGATGTGCGTGTTGACAGAGGTGTGGTGAATTTTGAAAGAATAACCATTTTAGAGATTCAATCAAACTAAACTCATGCAAACACTGAGTTTTAGTTAAAACTATTTGGTAAACATGGTTTTCAGGCCACATCATCATCATTGACATCATCATCACCTTAATCACCACCACCATCACTGACTACCACCTCAAGCCAACCTTCCCAATATCAACAGCTTCAATGACAAAGAGATCAACTCTTCCGGCCTCAAACTTATTTTTAGTATCGTTCTGGGAATTCCCAAGCCTCAACTTCCCAGTGGTTTCGCCTGCTTCTCCGAACAGCTGTATGTGCACGTTCGCATCGGTGCCAGCCTGTCTGCAGGTGCCAGTGGTCACACTCACGTGGTAGCTCGTTGCTGTGTACGTGTGTGTGTGTACGTGTGTGTGTGTGTGTTGATGTGAATTGTTAGTGTGCGCGTGCGTGTGTGTTGTTAGTGTGTGTGTGTTGTCGGTATGTGCACGTGTGTGTGTGTGTGTTGTTGGTGTGAGATGATATCTCTGTGAAATCTTCATCTCATTTTAATATTCTCTTTGATTATTTGTTTTGTCTTTTGTTTTGCCATGTTGACTGAGTTTAATGAATAAATTTGTTAACCAAAAAAACTAACGACGAACTCGTTTTTTAAGAAATTTAATTGATAAATTTGAATTTTTATTCAATATATAGATTTTCAGTCGTCGATGCAGTTGTAGACGTTTTCGCGGCTAGCAAGAGTTGGGTACTTTAATTTAACCTTCAACCTTTTTTGTTTGGCTGGTCCTTTTGCTCTTGCAATAAAATGTACCAAAAAAATAGTTGAGACGAGAAGGTCACCAACGATATGAAAAGCACGAGTTGGACGAAACGCCACATGTCAGTCGAGAAATAATTTCAGAGTTTCTATGTAAGATTCACAACTGACTTTTAAGCATTTGTATTCCTCCTGGAAACAACTCTCTGACTATCTGTCCATCGTCTTCTTTTGTGTCCAACCATCTTAAAATGTCAATCATTCAATCATTCCAACATTCAAACATACAATCATTCAAACATTCAATCATTCAAACATTCAATCATTTATTCATTCAATCATTAAATCATTCAATCAATCAAACATCCAATCATTCAATCAATCAAACATTTAATCATTCAATCATTCAATAATTAAAGCATTCAATCATTCAATCATTCTTATAAGCAATCATTCATTTAATATCAATAAATCTTAAAATAAAACAGGCATTAAATCATAAATAACAACTAAATGAACGTATTTAGGTAGTACCATCATCGAAGTTCAACCAACATAGTTGAGTTGGAAGTTGCGGTAGTGTAATGGTTAGGAGGCCAGTCACTTGTGTTGCAGTGACTGGATTCGAATGCCTATGGATCCTCGAGTATCTACGTGTGTTGTCTCTTTGCTGCTGCTACCTTTTAAAAAATCTAAAAAAAAAATTGTATTAAAAAACCTGTTGCAATCGAAGACCACAGGTCTGCTGACGCCACGACTACCACCACCATTACCACCGCTACTACTACTACTGTTGCTTCTCTTCCTGACGTCCTCATCACCATGGTTAGCGTTGTTATTCTGGTTAGCAGCGGACAAACGAGAGATGACCACTTTGTCTAAAAACCAACCACTTCCTGGTACAAAATTTACATTTCAGTATCCGTTTCCTGTCGAAATCTTCAAAGTTGAGATCATCTACATCATCGCCATCATCATCATCATCATCTTTCTCCTCTTCCTCCTCCTCCTCATCATCATCACCATCGTCAACATCACCATCGTCATCATCATCAACAACAACAACAACATCATCGTCATCAACTACATCGTCAGCAACATCACAACAACAACATTATCATCATCAACAACAAAATCATCATCAATAACAACATCGTCATCATCATCATCATCATTACATCATCATCACCAACAACAACCTGGACCCGTCCCATCGTGCCCTATCCTTATCTTGGTAAGCTTTCCTAAATCAACTGCTTCGATTGTGAAATCATCTTTCTGTTGTGATGATGGTGATGATAATAATGATGATAATATAATAATAATAATAATAATGACGATGATGACGACGATGATGAATATAAGGAAAAAATTTATAGTCACAATAATATTCCACGTTTTTTTTTTTATAAGGTACAATCAACAATCATTATAACAACCACCATCATCATCATCGCAACCACCATCACCATCATCATCACCATCGTCATCATCACCATCATCATCACAACCACTACAGTCACCATCACAATCATCATCATCACAACCACCATCATCATCATCATCATCACAAACATCATCATCACCATCATCATCACAATCGCCACCATCATCATTCTCATCATCGTCGTCAGCGACCTTTCCAGACTCAAATTTGTTGCCCCCACCACCACCACCAGCGGTCGCTCTCTTGAGGAATCGATCCCCAGTATCACCGTTCTCACCGAATACATTGATGAACACGTTGGCATCGGTACCCGCTCCCACCTTCTTGCCGGTATGTACCGACACCAAGTACCGGTACACTGTTGGTGATGATGATGATGGTGGTAGTAGTAGTTATTCTGATGAAGACGATTGCAATGATGATGATGGTTAAATGATGATGGTGTGATGATGAGGTTCTGTGATGGAAAGTATTGAAAACATAAAAACAGTGATCGATGTTTTTAAATGATTATTCATCATACATTAAAATTATACACATACGCGTGTTTTTTTTGTGTGCGCGCGCGTGTGTGTGCGTGCGTGCATGTACGTGCGTGTGTGTGTGTGCGAGTTACAGTTTTTAAATACGTGCATTCGCATCCATCCTAATAAACAATGAGAAACATTCGGAATTGAACCCGGTACATTCGGCTTACTAACGATTTAGAGGTTCCTTAATGTTTCCTCCCACAGCTGGTAGTTCCCGAACAATTTCCTGGTCATCATCATTCTCAGATAGCCAGCGATTGCACATGAATGTGTAAAAGCGCTTTGTCGATTGGTTCTCCATTTCAATCTGATTGGTTGGTGATCGGTTGGTAAGTTCTTTGTAAGTTGGTGGTTGGTTGGTTGGTTGATTGATTGATTGATTGATCGATCGATCGATCGATTGGATCGATTGGATGGTTCTGAATTAATTGTGAAAAAAAAATCTATTTTAAATACATCATTTAAGGAAAAGGAAAATATTTGGAATTAAGTTAACAAAAAATTGAATCAATGATTGGAAATAATAAAATTATCCATCAAATGACCAAATAATAATAAATAAAGTAGAAAAATAATAGCAATAAAATTATGAAACACGGTAAAAATAAAAACTCCCTACCTCACCTCACCTCACCTTAAAAAGTTTCCAGGCAGCAAAAGCCTTCCTATTATCATGCCACACCCTCAATTTGATTGGCTGACCTACATTCTCGAGGTCAACAACGAACGAATCGACCTGACCCGATTCGAAACTGTCACCTTTGTTTTCTAACAGCACATCCCTGCTTTTTAAATAGGTCGGGAGTTTTTTCCTAGTTTCACTTACGTTTGACATGGTGCTACCCCTTCTGATGTTATCTATACTGTCGCTGTACATGCTGTTTTTGCGGCTGAAATTATTGTTATTGTTGTTATTTATATTGTTGTTGTTATTTTGTCGTAGACTGCTTTGTCGTCTGTCAATAGTATTGTGGTTGCTGTGGCTATTGTGGCTGTTGTAGTTGTGGCTGTTGTAGTTGTGGTTTAATTTTTTCCGGCCGTAGAGAGCAATGAATACGTTGGCATCAGTGCCGGCGCCCCGATCATTGCACGTGTATACTGTTACTTTCCACGTTGTTTCTGAATGTTATACAGGTGTGTGTTGTTGTTGACGGGTTGCTGTTCTTGCGTATAGTGTTGTTGTTGTTTGCTGTTGTTGTTTGCTGTTGTTGCGAATAGCGTTATTGTTGTTGCGAATAACGTTGTTGTTGTTGCGAATAGCGTTGTTGTTGTTGCGAATAGCGTTGTTGTTGTTTGTTGCTGTTGCGAATAGTGTTGTTGTTGCTTGTTTATTGTTGTTGCAAATAGTGTTGTTGTTGTTGTTGTTTATTTATGATGTCTGTTGATGTTGTTAATGTTATTGAAAAAAATTTGACATCATCATTAACATCGACAACTGCATCACCGAACGATAGGATGTAACTGTCGAAAACGGCCAGAGTTTAAAAAAAATGTAAAATACCCATTATGAACAACAGTCCAAACAACCTCCTCACCATCTCAAACAACCTCCTGACCATCTCAAACAACAGCAATAACAACAAACTTTTATCTTTAACTCTTCTAGAAGTTTCCGAAAGAACCCTTTCAATCAGGCAATCCTCCTCATCTCTAGCCAGCCACTTGTTGCATGTGAATGTTTGCTCTATGCCGGTTAGTGGACAATCTACTATAATCTGATGGTCGGTTGGTTGGTTGGTTAATTGATTGATTGATTTTGATTGGGTAAAAAATTGGTTCTTTGAATAAAATGCAACCTACTACCACTCAAAAGCATACAATCTATATACAATCAAAAGCCAATATATATATACAATCAAAATCCAGCCAATCAATAAACAGCCAACTATTTAACCAACCAGCCAACCTACCTACCGACCAAGCAATCAACCAACGAGCCAACCGACCAATCAATCAACCAACCAGCCAACCGATCAACCAACCAATCAACCAACCAATCAACCAACCAATCAACCAACCTATCAACCAACTAGCCAACCGACCGACCAATCAAACAACTAACCAGCCAGTCAACCAAACAACCAACCGATGGACCAACCAGTCAAGCAACCGACCAACCAACCTCATCAAGGAACCATCCAGCCCCACTGCCCCTATCGTCATGACCAACCACCAGCTTCGAAACAGGACTGACAAGTTCGGCAATTTCCAGCTTGCAGATGTCGGTTCTGTTTCTTTCGAATTTGCAATTTTTCAGCCACACTTTGCCACTGCATTTCTCAACAGCGGCAATCTTATTATTATTATTATTATTATTTTTATTGTCTGATGACTTGTTATTGCTCTTATTATTGTTGTTGTAATTGTAAGTATCATTCCACCTCTGCATCGATTTCTTTCCACCACAACTACCACCACGATCGTCATCATCATCATCGTCGTCGTCATCATCATCGTCGTCGTCATCAGGTATCCCTCCGTACATGATGACGTAGACGTTAGCGGAAGTGCCGGCATTTCTGACGTCACCGGTTTTTATTTTTAAATCGTAGGAAATTCCTGGAGATTTTTGTTGTTGTTGTTGTTGTTGATGGATATGTCATCAGGTAGTTGGACAAGTAAGTGAAATATAAATAATAAAAATTATTGTCACCACCATTATTATTATCATCATTATTATTATTATTTATTATTATTATTATTTATTATTATTATTTTTCGTACCGGGGCCAGCGAGAAAGCCGTCTGCACCGGCGCAGGTGAGGTCCCTGTACGTCTGCCCGTCATCTTCATCCACTGCCAACCACCTTGATGGTGGTGGTGGTGATGGTGATGATGACCACGATGATGATGGCGATGATGATGATAATGGGGATTATGATGATGAGCATGATGATGATGATGATTATTATTATGATTATGATGATGATGAGCATGATGATGATGATGACGATGGTCAATTAGTCAATCGATCATAAAGTTAATTAATTAACCAATTAATTACTAAGTCAATCGATCAATCAATCAATCAAAAAATATTCAACGGCAGTTTTTCAAGTAGAGTTCAAACAGCGTCTCTCAGAAAACTCCCTGAATACATGACGATACTACGATTTCACACTCGTCCGAAAGCTTGTGTCACAACACACACACACACACACACATAGAGAGAGAGTGAGAGAGAGAGAAAGAGATAGAGAGATAACCCCACAACCACAACTTCACTCACCTCTCGCACGGAAACAAATAACTCTTGTTAAGCTGCAGGTCAATGACCTCGACCTTCGCCAGGTACCAACTGGCACATGCGCCCTTGTTGTCGTGTCCAATCCTGATTCGCTGCAGTGGTCCCAGGTCAGCTGACTTGATGGTGAACTCGTCCATCCTGTTCATGGTGATGATAATGGTGATGATGACGATGATTACGATGATGACGATAATAGTGACGGCGATGATGCTTATGACGGTGATGATAATGAGGATGGCGATAATAGTGGCGATGATGGGGATGAAGATGGTGATAATGATGATGATGATGTTGATATTGATGGTTGTGATGGCGATGGTGAAATTATATTCTTTGCCGATAACTTTGCCATCATCATATCGTCATCAACATTATCATCATCAGCATATCCTCACTATCATCATCATTATCATTATCATAATCCATGTACATTGTTATTATCATCACCACATTATTATCGTAATCATCATCGTCTACACCACATCATATCATCATCACATCATTATCATCATCGTCTACATCAGCATCATCATCTTCATCTAAATCATAATCATCATCATTATCATCATCTTCTTCCACATCATCATCATTATCATTCACATCACATCATCATCATCGTCCACATCATCATCACAACTCACTTGTTCCTTTCAAAGTCATTCCTGCCCTTAGCATCGAGCATCTTCTCTCCACTGTCAGCCTCCTTTCCGAAGAGTTGGATGCTCACGTTGGCGTCAGTTCCAGCGCCGGATTTGTCGCCTGTATACACCAGGATCTTGTACTCTTTTGCTGGGTGGTTCAGATGGATGGTTGGTTGGTTAGATGGTTGATTGGATGGTTGGTTGGATGATTTGTTGGTTGGATGGCTGGTTGGTTGGTGTGATGGTTGATTAGTTGGATGGTTAGTTAGTTGAATGGTTGATTGGTTAGTTAGATTGTTGGTTAATTGATTGGTTGATTAGTTGGATTGTTGGTTAATTGGTTTGATGGATGGTTGGTCGGTTAATTGATTAATTGGTGAGACCAAATAACGAAAGCAATCTCAAAAACGCCTCCACCAGTACCAGCCCCCAACCAAACTATCATCCACCTTTTTGGAAATCGTCGTTGGGATTGTTGGTGGCAACCAGATCCTTGTATATGCATCCATCGCCCTCATCTTTTGCCAGCCAATCACAGCACGGGAAGTAATAACAGTTGTCAGGATTTGACTTGCCGGACGAGTTCGTAATTTCTTTTATTATTATCTGAACGTGTTTGTCGGACATACAGCCGTGTAATACTTCTCTAAATTCTACAAATTAACATTCTACAAATTATTTTTGGTATTTTTTCAGTAAGAGAGAAAAAGAGAGAGAGAGAGAGAGAGAGAGAGAGAGAGAGAGAACAAAAATACAGTGCGTACAAATACGTTAATATTGTAACAAGTGAACGAGGGGTAGAAAATTGAAAAATAATAATGATCATTTTTTAAAAATAAATCTACACAAATGTCAAATGAAAACTCCCACGATGATCATTTTTATTTGTAAAAAAATTAACACATATGAATAAAAAAAAACTGCAGAATATATAACAATTAATGAATTAATTTAATTAATTAGGTAATTAAGTTATCATTAAATTATTATTTAATTAATTTATTTATTTATTAATTATTAAATTGTTATAGATACCTTCTCCAGAAACCAGCCAGGAGCAAATCCGTAATTGTCGTGCTCAACTCTATAGGCATGTGTATATTTGTGTGTGTGTGTTTATATTTGCGTGTGTGTGTTTATAGTTGTGTGTGTGTCTGTTTATATTTGTGTGTGTGTTGTGCGTGTGCACGTGTGTGCATGTGCGTGTGGGTGTGTGAAAAAATAACATAAACAAACAAAAAGAATATCAATAATGACAACAAAAAACATCAACAACAACAATAACAAAGAACATTAATAATAATAACAAAAACAAAGAACATTAATAAAAACGAAAACCTAATTTTATTAATGTTTCCAACATTTCTCTCTTTAAATCTAAAAAAACTGTTCCTACCCTTGGCGAAATAATCATCATCATTACCACCACTATTATTATTATTATTAAAATTTGTTTTATTTAGTTGAATTTTCTCCGTCTGTCGGCCATTTTGTCCGAATATCGTGACGAAGACGTGCGCGCTTGTTCCCGCTCCTTTCTTATTTCCGGTTATCACGGTTAATTCGTAATCTTTGGTTGGGCGATAATTAAACATCAAATTTACATGGTCACTAGTTTATTTTCTATGCATTAACTTGCAGGAATGAATTAACGAAAAAATCAACAAAAACCAAAATCACTAACCGATATATTCGGAAGGATTTTGAGCATACAGCTTCCGTTTGGTGAGACCATCTGATTGGTGGATTGACAGCCAATCAGAACACGGGAATGTGTAAGTGGACGAATCGGACGAAAACAGTGATGATTGCTTTATTTTTATCATTTCCAGGAACCAATCGTCTTCCTCCAAGACGCTGCTGTGCTGGTTTCACAATGAACAAATGTTTTTTTTTTGTTTAATTTTAATAATTTGAAGTAAGAAATAAAAAAGAAGTCGCCATTCCTTTTTTGGCAGTTGCTGCAGTTACCTCAACAACGACATTCTCAATCCGGCCAACGTCAATGCCACCAATCTTGAACTTCTGCGTCTGCCCCCTCATGAATGCAAACTTCTTACCCCCTCCACTTTTCATCAACCTCTTTCTATTTATTTTACCGTTTTCTCCGTTGATACTTAAGTTCACTTTTGTCGTGGTGCCGGCGTTTGGGTGGCTGCCAGTGGTGACGAAGATGGTGTAGATGGCGTCACAGTCGTTGAAATTTTCTTTAGGTTTTTTCTTTTTCTTTTTTGTAGTTTTGGGTGCTTGACTGGCCATTTGGTACTTCACGTATTCCTTTATGAAGTGTTGTTGTGATGTTGTGAGACTGGTTTTGTTGGCGGTTATGGTGATGATGTGGCTGTTGATTATGATGCCTTTTGCTTGTGTTGATGTTTTTGCTTGTGGTATTAATGACGATGATGATAATGATGATGACGATAATGATGATAATGATGACAGTGGCGGCAAAAAAAGATAACAAACTAATGAATCTTGAGGATAGCAACGAAGTTGATTGATGAAAATAAACGATGGAAACATTTTTTTGATAAAAAGCACACGAAAAAGATAAACGAACACTCAACACTCGATGATAACATTCTGACAACCAAATATAATTTACGACTCCGAACTTATCAATGAATGATTGCATAGCACTGAAAGTGATATAACGTTAAAAGGTCATTCTTCATTTACGTGCGGTGATATTCTTCACGCTAAAAACCGCATAAACTTCTACTTCCAAATTTATTCAAATTAATTTAAATATTTTTATTTATTTCTTTATTCTTGATGAACATTTAAATAATGTGATAGCATTCGTCAAACGGTTTCGGTTTATAAAACACAACAACATATACCGAAAACAATGATTTTTTTTAGTAACACAAACAAATGCTAAATACATTTTACTTCAAATCAATTTTTTCGGCCTCAGTTATGCTGTTTGTTATTTGGAACAAATTTGTCGTCAGTTACACGCGTGCAAGTTAAATTACCATCGAAGCGTGTACATAGTCTTTACGTTTAGATCAGCCAGTAATTGCAACATTCCATTTCTACCATTGTTGCTTGCAAACAAACAGTTTTTCGATATAACATGATGAAAATTAAAATAGTGATTTGCTCAGTTTGTTTAATTCGGCTGTCAGTAGACATATTACTCTCATAATTTGAATAGACGTTAAATGATTTCGAAGTTTTTATAACTAACTGTTCAAGCAAAAGTTTATGACGACAGGGCAATGAACAAAAGATAACGTCTGAAAACTTTTAAATTTTTGGCTTACAGTTTGTGTGATGGCAAAGTATTTCCTCAGGTAGAAATCTCTGAGGTGTGGGTCGTTGAATGAGTAGTATGGAGGTAGCCGTCCCTGTCTGTTTCTCTGGTCGTACATTTGAAACAACGAAACTGTCGAGAGTTTTTCAACAATTTATTATAATAGTTGTTAGGATTTAAAATAATTTTAACGACATGTTGTGACATATTCTTACGACGAAGTTTTAAAACTCAAACAAAAATGTAATCCAGATAAGCAACCATACAAGCGATGCAATGGTATACAATTATACATATATGCAAATGAGAGATTAACTCTACTAGATACAAAATAAAATTATGTCATATATGCGATACGCATTTCTCTGTAGACGAGGTGCATTTCAAATGTATTTGCACGTAAGTGTACGCAAAACAACATCACCAAGATGAGAGCAAGTAAAGAATTAAAAAATAATAATAAAGAATTAAAAAATGATAATAAAGAATTAAAAAATGATAATAAAGAATTAAAAAATGATAATAAAGAATTAAAAAATGATAATAAAGAATTAAAAAATGATAATAAAGAATTAAAAACGCTTTAGTGAACAAATTTTTCAAAGAGAGCCTTAGAACCAAGTCCAAATCGGCTGCAAAAAAACTTTGGCGTAAAAAAAGGCGATACGTCAAATGCCTTGTTATAATTTGGTAATACCGAATGATTTATCATAAAATTAATTTTATAAAATTGACTAAAATTTATGGCATAAACCTTTTTTTGGCAGATTGTCGTTCGATCGTCGCGATGAAACTGACGACAATGACGACTGACTGCTCATTGGCCGATTGTAAAGTGTGTTGGTGGTGCTGTTAGGTAAGGCTTGATCGTAGAAACAATTTGAAATTTATTAAAGTCTATAATAAATTAAATATTTTCCATTAAAAATGCGATTTTAAATATAGAAAAACGTAGTTCAATATAAATTTTAAAACCCAGTTTCATAACACGATTTATAAGAGCTTTATCAATATTTCACTACTTTAGAATGTATGATTACAACGGCGAGATGAATTGTAATCGTAATAATATGTGTCAGGGTTTGAATGGAAAGAAATTCCCATTTACGAAAGTTTATTTCAGAGAAACACTAAAATGAGACAGGTTGAACAAGTTACTGCACGAATATCATGTTGGAAAAATTTAATAACAAAATAACCAAGATTTGGCACATGCTTCCTTAAATTTTGAAAAAAACGTTCCCTCTCGTACGAGGATCCGACCGTCATATATCTATCCATTAGATCCAGAGATAAGGATTCCAAATTCATTTTTTAAAAATAAATGAAACTTCAATCTAAATTTTAAGAAATTATTTTGCGTAAAAAAGAAAGATTTTGATTGCATAACCACCACAATGGCTTGATAACCATGTGTTTGTATTCGTAACCATACGCATTGTTTGGTGCACGTTTCTATGGTGACGAGCTTTTGATGTAAAAGTTCATTTAATTAATCTAATTTTGTAAATAAGATTATCATTTGATTAAAAAATTTAAATAAAAATAGAAGTTTTATATTAAAATTTGTAAAGTTATACGTTAATAATGTAAATTGTACTTACAGTTTATTTATTTATAAAAATTTAGAATTAAGCTCACTTTTAAAAGTTTAAAAGTAAATTTCACTTGTAAATAAATAAACGATTTTTTAATCATTCTCTATTTTATTTTATTTATTTCATCGTTTAGAATTAATTTTTATTTAGCTGAATATTTCATCTTTTATCATTTATCATCAGGTTTTTTGTGTTTAGTTGATTTTTTTCTTAATAAAATAATTTTGTTTGTCATGTGATCTGATGATCCTGGTTGATTCAGTATTCTGATCCTCTCAATCTCAATCTCTGATCCTCTCAATCTAACTTTCACTTTTCTAGCTAAAGTGTTAAAGAAGATAAGTAATATTTACATTTTTTATGAATATTATTCATTATACAATACAGACACAGGAAAAAAAAAAAATTGATGAAATGTCAAAACATAACAAACTGGCCTCATTAGCACCTGCCAACAAAACTCATCCCCTGACTGAATCATCATCAAAATTGAGAAAACAAAAACAAGAGCAGAAAGATTTAGATGACATAGAGGATGATCTTTTACTCCAACAGAATGTATCCAACTTCACAAACGACCTCATTAAAAGCGTCAACCGAGATATCCAAAGAGAGTATGACAGTGTCAGTCGATATCATGCCGCTATAAAAGCCCTAACTCGAAATCTAATCAATGGCTCTTATGATGATGAACATCATGCTAATCTAACTCTGCCTTCTTCAAATAATAAGACACCTCTGACTAAAATAAACATCAGCCGATATAATGTTCAATGTTCATTCAAAGGTAAAGTTTTTTTTAGTGTTGTCTGTCAGAATTATGGCTACATCATCATCATCTATTTTACAAATTTTTCTCTTTTTAATTTCACATTTTTATCAGCTGACATTTTTATTTATTTATTTGAAAAGAATTTATAATAATAATAGTTTGTTATTAAAGGGCACAAACTGAACATTCTATGCCCCCAACAAAGGAAAAAACATTAAATTAACCAACTGTATAATATATAATATTAAGTAAATTGTGTACATACCAAGCACATGTACCTAAAAAAATAATACTTTTTTGTAGTAATAAATAACAACATTATTCTGGATTAAAAATGTGCAATATTTTCTGATCTTTGTTGTACTTGAGAAAATAGTTTTTCATTGTTAAGTTAACAAAGGTTATTGTAAAAGTTTTTTCATAAATAGGGATTTAAATGTAGAATATACTTATCATAATTATTACATAAGTTACACGTAATGTTATTAATAATGATAAATACTAATACTAAATTCATATTAATCCTTTCTCTATATTGTGACGATTTTTTCATGTAAAATGTTAATTAGGTTTTTATTCAAACTGTTTTCTGAGAAATTGTGATGATGATTCGCAAAAATTTTCAATTTTTTCAAAAAAATTTTTCAGAAAAATTTTAAAAATAAAAAAAGTTCTCTGATTCAAGATTAAGAATTTGTTGTTGTGTAATTTTGATTGGTTTTAATTAACTTAATAATATAATACAACGATAAATAATAATCTTAATATAATACAACGATAAATAATAATCTTAGTAATTTAATAATGATATTAAATTGCAAAACCCCAGAGAAACCAATATGGCTTGAAGATGCTTGCACGGACCGATGTATGTTGTGCGACGTAAGGTTCACATTTACCAGAAGGAAACATCATTGTAGGCTCTGTGGAATGGTATGTGTGTGTGTATGTATGTATGTGTGTGTGTGTGTGTGTGTTCTGTTTCTGTGAGTTTGTCTGTGCATAATGTTTGCATTCACAAGAAGGAAACGCCATTGCAGTGCATATGTGTGTGTGTGTATGTTTGTGTGGATGTGAGTGTGTGTGTGTGTATGTGAGTGTGTGCGTGTGTGCGTGCGTTTTTGTGGAATGATATTTGAGTGTCATTTTGTCTAAATTCATTCTGCCTATTGTAAACGCAGATATTTTGTAGTGCATGCACAGACAGAAGAACAGCAATTCACTTTCTCAATAATAACAACAACAACCAAAATAATAATAATAATAATAACAACAATAATAATAATAACAATAATGAAAGCAATAATAATAAACTTGTAAGAGTTTGTCTGCTCTGTTACAAGCAGTACAAAAAGAAGTTTCCAAGAGAATCAGGAGGTGAGGATGTTTGTGATGATGATGATGTTGATGTTTGTGATGATGATGATGTTGATGTTTGTGATGATGATGATGATGTTGATGTTTGTGATGATAACGATGATGGCAATGATGATGATCGTAATTCAATTACAGTATTATAGTAACCATGGAAATAATGATGATGACGATGATGAATCAGATGACAACTATTATTAATGGCTGTGATGGTTTTCTTCTGCTCAATTATAATGATTGCTGAAAATTGTGATCAGATCATTACTATTATCATGATGTTGGTGATGACGACGATGATGACGTAGGTTTAGGACCAATGGTGTCCTTCAATGCAAGTCAGTCGTCCAATGAGACAGTTACATTTTCTAACAGCCAATCAAACAGCAGATCAACAAGTCATTCATCAACGAATCAAATTAAACTGCCTCCACTATTAACCAGGAATGAACAACGGCCAGGTTAGTCAGTTGATTTGTTGATTGGTTGTCTGATTCATTCATTCATTCACTCATCCATTTATTCATTCATTTATTGGTTCTTTCATTTTACCAATACCTGATTGATTGGTTGATTGATTGATTGGTTGATTGATTGATTGATTGATTGATTGGTTGGTTGGTTGGTTGGTTGGTTGGTTGGTTGGTTGGTTGGTTGGTTGGTTGGTTGGTTGGTTGGTTGGTTGGTTGGTTGGTTGGTTGGTTGGTTGGTTGGTTGGTTGGTTGGTTGGTTGGTTGGTTGGTTGGTTGGTTGGTTGGTTGGTTGGTTGGTTGGTTGGTTGGTTGGTTGGTTGGTTGGTTGGTTGGTTGGTTGGTTGGTTGGTTGGTTGGTTGGTTGGTTGGTTGGTTGGTTGGTTGGTTGGTTGGTTGGTTGGTTGGTTGGTTGGTTGGTTGGTTGGTTGATTGATTGATTGATCGATCGATCAATTGATTGATTGATTGATTCTTGAATTGTTAAAAATCATTGTAAGGTTTTTTATTTGTTAAACTGAATTTTACATAAAATACGATTAGCTATTTATATTTTGCTTTGTTGAATATCATTGGTTGAGTAATTTATCGGTTAATTTATCATTGGCCGAATGTGCTTGTCATCTTCGCTGATTGGCTAAAAATTAATTGAAAATTCATTAAAATTTTTTTTTTAAGTCCAGTACAATGTTACTAACCAAACGTTCCGAAGTTTGTTACTCACGGGTTAGTCTCATCTTTGTACTTTTTTGTATTTTTTTCGGTACTTTTACGAAAACCTATTTCATTTCGACAAGGGTTGATAGAGATTGTAGTATATAAACTGACAAGACTGACAAGAAAAATAAACTAAATTACTCTTCAAAAAAATTAATCATCATAAATTATCATAATTTGTTATAATTATCATACCTGTAATAGGGAATAATTAATTAATCTGTCCGTTTGCTGTGTTGTTTATTAGAAGAAAAAAAAAATTTTTAAGAGTTATTAATTATTTATATAAATAATAATAATAATAATATCAATAATAATAATATACATAATAATAATAATATACATAATAACAATAATAACAACAGTTAATAATGATTAAATTGTTGTAATGAGTTATAATAATACTAACGATGAAAGAAGTATAATTATTTATTTAATTATTTATTTATTCTATTATTTATTTATTTTATTTATTTAATTCAGACCCAAGACCATTATGCTTTCTAATAAATCCAAATTTAATAGTTCTTGTTAAGCTCCTGTCGAGTTAGTTGCTTCTTTTATTTTTGGTCTTTTTTAAAATTAGTTTTCTATGGAATATAATTATTCATCTATGGAATATAATTATTCATCGTTGTTGTTGTTGTGTTGTTAAAGTTGTTATTAACACTGCTGTTTGGTGTTGTTGTTTTTGGTTGATATCTTGTATATATCTTGATATCTTGTTGATATCTTGTTGATATATTGATATCGTGTATATATCTTGATATCTTGTTGATATTTCGTTGATTCTTGTTGATATCTTGATATCTTTAATGATCTCGTTGATATCTTTTAGTATTTAATATTCCTTCCGATCAACCGAGCGCTATTTATTTTTTATCCCGACCACAAAGTTGGTGACGGGTTCCCGCAACTTTGCAGTTCTTGGCCCGGTTGTTTGGAATGGTTTACCTCCTTACTTACGTGACCCTAACCTATTATATTTACAATTTCGAAGTCAACTTAAAACTTATTTATTTGCACAATGAATGTCCGTCTTATTTGTCTATGATTTAGTAGCGCTTTTGAGATTCAACAATAAAAAAGCGATGTATATAAATTTTCGTATTAATAATAATAATAATAATTGTTGCTTAAGTTTGAGAGTTTTTATTGTTATGAATTTTTTCATCTTGCCTGACTATTGACGTCATAAAATTAATCCACAGGGAAGTGCTTATCGTCATCATCTTTATCAAATCAGCCTTACGAAAATAATGATGGTGATGAAAATGATTACAAAAACAGCAGCAAAAGTAAAGACTATGATGACGTCGATGATATCATCAATGATATCATCGATGATATCATTGATGATATCATCGATGATATCGCTGATGATGACGTCATTAATGTTAGTTCATCATCGCGTGTGCGTGTAAATAAAAATGATGAAGATGTCGATAAGGATGACGATGATGACGATGAACTCAGTGTCATCGTACCTGCCAATATGAATAATGATGATGGTAATGATGGTAACGACGATAATGATGATGATGAGGGATATATTCTGTTGTTTATAACGCGAGGTATGAACGTTGTCAGCCAGAAGGAAATTGTTTTAATGATGAAATGCCACATTAAAGATAGCAACAGCATTGAAAACAATTACAACATCGGTGACTACAACAACAAAAACGACAACAACAAAAACGACAACAACAAAAACGACAACAACAACAACAAAGTAGACATCAACATCAACGAAAACATCAACAACAACAATAACATAAACATCATCAACAGCAACAACAACAACAACAACAACGTAAGCATCAGCAACAACAACGTAAACAACAACATCATCATCAACAACAACATCGACAACAACCAAAATGATAACAAAACTAATAATGTAAACAACACCACCGAAGATATCAATAGCATCAACAATCGCAACCTCCCTCCAGCATATTTATTTAAATTTTTTAGCGACCTCTACCAGGAAGCCAGTTTCGGTTAGTTATTCATAGTTTGGTTAGTTAATTTTATTTCACTATAAATATATTTTAATATTAATTCTACTTATTGTTAATAATAATCGGCGAATTAATTATGTTAATTAGGTTAATTTATTCATTATTCGTCGTTCGATCGTCTGTCAAGGTCATACCAGAGAGCATTTGGATTGTGTTAAACTTCAAAGAAAGCATTGCTGCAGTGATGATGATAATGACGGTGGTGGTGATGGTAGAGGTGGTGTTGGTGGTTATGACGATTATGATAATGATTATTCTAAAGGTTATCAGGCATTTAGTGGGGTCGAAGTTGATGGTGGTGGTGGTGATGAAGGTGATGACGACGACGATGATGATGATGTAAGTGATGATAATGATAGCAGACGGCTTATTGAGGGTTTCGTGTTTGTTGATGTCATGAAGTGTCGCTTGTATGGCTCTGAACAACGTCAACAACAAAAACATCATCATTATCATCATCGACAACAACGTCATCATCATCATTATCAACAACAACGTCATCATCATCAACAACATCAAAAGCATCGTAATTTCAACAGCTGTTATAAAGACTCAAAAAGCAATTCGTTCAGTATAATAGACAATTTATTAAAATTAAGATATTTTCCAAAGAGTTCATTTTTAATTGCTGTTTCTTTGGTGGAAAGTGAACTTAAATTAGCAAGAAGATTGCCGGTTCTTATGTGTTTGAATTTGGCCCGCGAACAGAAATGTTAGTTAGTTCTTTGGTCTAGTTTACGTTTTTTGTTTCGATTGTTGAATTGGAAAAAGTCATCTTTGTCCAACCAATCAGCAACGAAAAATATCAATCATCCAATCATTCACCCAATCTTTCAATCAATCATCCAATCAATTAACCAATCTTTCAATCAGTCAACCAATCAACCTCGGCCATAGGTTATCCTATCCCACTGTTCAGCGTGCATCAGAGACATGCAACAACCGACAACAACAACAACAACAACTGCAAGTTTGCTCCTAATACTATAGACAACAGCAGCAGCAACAACAACACATCGACAACATCTAACACATCAACAACACTAGACACGTCAATGAAGTTCCTCACATCAACACCAAAAACATTAACAACACCCAAAACATCAACAAATGCCAGCACAACACGCAATATATCAACACGCAACATATCAACACGCAACACATCAACACGCAACACATCAACTCTCAACACATCAACTCTCAACAACACATCAACTCTAAACACATCAACAAAATTCAACAGCAACACTTCTCCATCTCCTACTACTGATGCTAACAACATCAACACCAAAGCATCGGCTACTACTACTACCACCATTGGTTACCATAGTAACCATTTTATTGAAGGGCTTACTGTATATAGTAATCATCGTTATTATCATCACCGTAATCGTCATCTTCATCGTAATCATCATCTTCTTCATCATCATCGTCGTCGTCGTCCTCTTCACATCAGGAGATACGTCATAAACATTCCTAGACATCAGTACAGACAGGTCTCGGTGCAGTTTTAGTCATTTTCATTTCTTGATTCTAACGAGAATGATGACGTGAATGATGACGTCATGGTGCGTGATTGTGATGATGGCGATGATGATGGCGATGATGATTGTAACGATGATGATAAGGCAGCTTATAATGATGATGACGACGACGACGACGATGATGATGACGACAATGATGATGACGGTAATATTTATGATGACGATGTTAATGAGAATGAAGAAGGATCATCATGTCTTATTTCGATATGAATAAATTTTTCATCATATTGATATCATCGATAATTTCGTCACCAGGTGATGTACATAATAAACAACATGCAAGATGACGTCATAATGATGTCGACGGATCATCCTCTTTGTCGTCATCATGCTGACTATGCTGATTTGCCATTGGTTGATTCGACCAGCCAATCACCATCAAGTATTCAAACACATGAATAATTTTTTTTTCAGTTTCCTGTATTAATTTTTTTACAGTCCTTTCTTAACTATATCTCGGAGCTATATGCAAGAAACACACACACGCCAAGCAAGCACATGTCACAGGCCAGGATCTCTTTGCTTTCGAACTCGGTTGCTGAAACAAAAGTGACAAACACCTTGACAACTATACCACCATGCCGTCTAAAGCGTTTAGTATGTTTATGAATACTTGATGGCGATTGGCTTATCGAATTAACCAATGGCAAATCAGCAAATGGTTTAAATGATGATAATGAAGGTTGTGGTTTCCAAGGTATGTGATGACAGTAAATCTATAGATAGACGCTTGTTCGTTCATGTATCATTCATATGTTTTTGTGTATGACGGGATGGAGTTGGTGATGATGACGATGATGATGACGATAATGATGATGAGGAGTAGTGCAGTTATGATGATGATGATGACGATGATGATGATGTTAAACAACTCTACAGGTTGCTGCTTGCTTATATTGAAAAAAGAGAAATCTCAAAATCATCCTCCGACAAAGGCGCCACTATCATCATCACCACAACCATCATTATCATCACGACCACCACCACCGTCATCATCACAACCAACTAAAACAACAACAACAACAATACGTGATGATGATGATGATGGTCACATTCATTCATTCACTCTTCACGCCCATTCATTCCAAAATCTCTTGCAATGCTTGAAGCTGATGAAAGATTGCAATGCTACTGCTGCTAATGATGATAATGATGATGTTGTTAATAATAATAATAATAATAATAATAATAATAATAATAATAAATATATTGATGACAACGATGATGATGATGATGATGTTGACAAGTATGAAGTAGACGATGATTATGTAAACGATGATGATGATGATAATAATAAGAAGAATAATAATAATGACAATAATGACGTCATCGTCAGTGGTGGACTGATCAAAAGTGAACTGATGTTTCAGTGGTTGGATGGCGATGCCCTACTCAATCCTGGGTTAATTAATTTATAATTACTTATGTAATAATAATAATTTTTAATTTAATTACTATTATTATTATTTTACTATTATTATTATTCACCGTATTAGGTGGAGTAAAATTATTTTTCTTTATAAATTTATCTGACAATCAAACTCGTGGCTAAAAAAATAAAATTAACTAAACTATTGATATAATTATCAAATAATTTATTGCATATAATAATAATTATAATAATGATAATAATTTTAGAATAACGAGTAAAATAGAAGGATGTTCACTGGAGTATAGTAGGATGATAAGGAACCAAATTGGTCCAGAAAGTCCCGGTGTAAGGTTCCTCAATAGATTCTTCTTCTACAACGGTTGTGATGATTACCGACTGACCTGTGGTGATGATAACGATGCTGGTGAAATGGGTGGAGTTGATGATAATGATGATGAGTTGGATGGACTGAAGAATTTTGAATGTGTTAGGTGAGAGACTTTGTTTCTTTTTTTTTGTTGTGATTAATTTTTATTTTTATATTATCTGCATTTTATTTGTATTCTTTGTTTTATTTAATTAATACTAGATATGAATGGTTAATATTGTAAACGAAAAATTATTAAAAATTTTTATCTTGAATATTCGGTATCTTTTGTTTCTATCATTCGTGACGTCATCAGGTGGCTGGAAGCGTACGTCATAGAGAACAAACTGCCATCCGAGTACGAAGATGACGTGAGCATAGATAAATTAATCAGGCAGTCCGCCCATCTCTCTTCCGAAGCTCTCAACCAACACATCCCTACTCTGACGTCACTGAAGTGTTACTCACTGGCCGTCAGAGTTGTGGTGATGATTATTAGTGATGTTGTTGATGATGATGATGATGATGATGATTATGACGAGGATCGAGATAACTTTAAGGTGTAGTTTTTTTATTTGTTACTTTAAAGTGTTTAACTTTGTGAATAAGGTCGAATTTTGCTTCTATTTAAAATTCTGTTAATATTTGAAATTGTGAATTTTTCCTATCTAACTGTACTTGAAACAAAGAGGATGTTGATCAACAATAACCTTTCCACAAATCAGATTGAGGTTAGCACATCTCTAAAGGACAACAGCAACAACACTAATATCGTTAACACCAGAAACAACAACAACAAAGAAAATGATATCAATAAAATTAACAATGATAATATTACTGATGACGTTAACGATGTGCTAACAACTACAACAACGCCTCTAGCGACGACAGCTGCAAAAGCAACGGCAGATGCAGCGCCAACGTCTGCTACAACTACTACCGCAATAACTTCTACCACAACAGCCACAACTTCATTGCTACCACCACTTCCAACAGCCACAAACTTGAAGCCTCTCACAACAAGCCTGCAAAGAACATTGAAGGAATGCGTCAATGATGAACTTACACCATCCCGTCAACTGATATATCATCTAATGAAGAAATTGCGTAATAATAACAAGAATTATAACAAGAATAATAAAAATAATAATAATAACAATAATACTAAAATTTATAATAATAATATTACAACAGATGACAATGCTTTCCTTGTTTATGAAATCGCTTATCAACTTATTGGCCTTAAATTCACTATTGCAACTAATAATTAATTCAACGAATGAACGAACGAATGAATGAATGAATGAACCAAACTGATGAATGATTGAATGAACCAAACCAGTGAATGAATGAATAAACCAATGATTGAATAAATTCAATTCTGTTTATTTTTATAAGTTGCATTTTATTGATTTAATTTTTGACTTTGTTTTTGAATGCGGAATGTTCAATCTAGTTATAATTAATCAACGAATTTGATTGATTTTCGATTGAAATACTTTATCAATACTTGAATTTAAGTTGGATTTTTCGTTCAATTTTTTTATGATTAATTTATTTTTACATATTTCTGGAATGTTCGATTGGACATCTCTTAAACACACGTCAAACGAAAATAAGCACTTGATTCGATAAGTTCTGCCTGCACCTAAGGGCACCAACGTATAATTAAACGGTCACAACTCTTATTTTCTAAAATCTCCCCACATTATCCGATGACATCTCAGAATATTTAATTCCTTTATTTTTATCAATTAATTGATTAATTTAATCTAATTTAATTAATCTAGCGATTAAATGATTAGTTAATTGAGTAAGTTGGGGAGTCGTTATATGGTACTGTTGAAGATAGAATGTGGTTTATTAATCTATTTGTTGTTACTGGAGCAACTAGCTGGGTGTTTGGTTGGTTGGTGATTTACTTCTAATAGATTAGATGAACATTCTTTATTTATTTCAATCACGTTCAATATTTTTTTAAAAATACGTTTTAAATATAAAATTTGAAACGCCATTTTTAATGTTTTCCATATGCATTCTCTCATCATTTCTCGTGCCTTATAAACAAACTTTCCATCGTTATTTCTCAATTATCAATTAGACTTTTAGACTTGCAGCTATATATATATATCTGCATGCATATATAGATCTTTCTATATATACCTACATGTGTATGTTGTATATAAATGTATTTTTAGTCATTTGTTTTTTTATTTATCCATACCCGTTGGTTTTGTGGTCAAAAATTTTTTTTTAATTCTTGAACGAAAACATTTTGTTAAAGTCAGCAATTGGTGATGGATGTATTTGCTGTTGAACTATCTTTTGGTATTCTACTCCAAAGTCAGTTTCATTGTGGGATTGTCTAGTTATTTAATCAGTTCAGAGACGATAAAACTAACTGTAAATGGTGAATCATTGGAAACAGTCGTCAGATTTACTTAAGTTTTTTGATCCCCCAGTAAATATGTCTCTTCCGAACCAAAAAATTTTCCACTACGTTTGCATAGTTCCAATTTACTTGAATTGTGTGTTAGCTGATGACACGAAATTGTAAAATAATAATTAAATTGTTTATATTTATATGTTCACATATTTATAACTTGTTTTTATATTTATCTTATTATAAAAATTATTATAAAATTTATTACATAATTTTATTTTTGAACCACCATTCCATCTAGAAGATCGGGTATTATTACATGGTTACAAGATGTTTACAGTTGCCCTTTAGTTTTTCATTCTACTCAGTATCTAATTTATTTCACATATTCACATATTTAGATGGTATCGAATATTTAATACTTGTATTAGAGATCTGCAGTTTTTTGAAATGAAATAAATACTTCTCATTATTCATCACTCTCAAACTGTTTGGAATATTTTAGAATTTTGGGAATTTTAGCAGTTATAGAAAGAAAATTTTTTTCGTTGTTTCGTTACCACATGCAACGTTTGTGTGATGCGTTGTTTAACGTGCATGCACTGCTTGTTGAAGCCTTTGAATTTGTAATCAGATGAGAAATGTATTTATACATTATGTATTCGTATAACAATGTTTGTGTGTGGTTGTGTCTCCATCCCCTCTCAACATATTTTTTCAAGTAGAATTCAAGTGTTTGAATTTAACTGTTTATTTAATTATTTACATACTAAGTAAATAAATAATTCATTGATTCATTTATAAGGTTATTTTTTATATATCATCTTAGTATATTATTTTAATTGTCTATTTTATTTTTTATTAATCTATCTTTTATCTTAATAAACGAAATAAAATATTAACGATACGTCAGAAAAATATTTTCAAATTTATTTAAAACACACACACACACACACACATATATATATATATATATATATATATAGAGAGAGAGAGAGAGAGAGAGGAGAAACTCGAACATAACGAGCGTTCAGCGAGAGTCTTCAGAGGAAGAGTTTTCGTCAACGAGTGTTTCGGCCCTTTAACTTTCTGACGCTCCCGAGAAACAGGGCGACATCCAGAGGTCAGATCGACGAACCAAGTAACACGCTAAGCGGAATCTGGGAGTGTTGAGTAATCGAAAGCCTTACATGCAAACAAACTCGTCTGTTAACTAATTAAACTTGCATTCCTTTTTTTCCTACATTACCATATCCAGTAAGACGCTTGTTTGGCTGTATGTTCTATGTCCTTCATACAACTCGATCGTCTTTTACCTGTCAAACCCAAATTCTTCAGAAAGTTGTACACTGAACAACCAACAACACCTTGCACTGACCTCAACTGCGTTAAACAAACACCTTAACCCACGTTGCTTTATCTCACTAACAAGCTCTTCATACTTGGCTGTTTTTATAGCGTGATTTGCTGCTAAATTAGCCTCAAACCAGCACGTCTGGTCTCGCTCCTGTATTGTTTATGAACAATGGGTAGTTCTTCAAGCCTTTTTCTGCGTTCCATTTTCTCCCTGTTTTTAACGATGGCTTCACTTTTTTTTTACACACTCGTCAGCTGAGTTGTTTAACATTTATTGACACCTAATTTTGCAACCTTGAATTCTTCCACCAGAGACTTCAGAGGGGGTCATAGTAGCGTACTTCTACTGTATAACGCTAACGATGTCAGACCTGGAGGAAGTCCCAATCACTTACGTGTATACCGGTTGATTTTTCTTTCAAGGCTCTCTACTTTGGGTAAGCTGACTTCATGAACTGTTAGAGACCATAGAAGTTTTGTTACCACCACAAACTGAATCAGCCATACTTTGAATTTGCCTTGAAGTTCCACTTTGTTGACAATTTCCAAGTATTTTGAGCAAGTATCTTCTAATTTTTCTATTTCATAAACGTCTTTCAGACTGGCATGATACCAACTGCTCAACTGTAAAATTTCTGTAGAGATTCGGTTTTTCTTTAGTCGGTAACAAACTTCTTGATTTTCCGGTTTGAATTTCATTTTGCTCCAACACAGCAACTCATCCAGATTTCGCAGATATCGCAGACTTTGTCAGCACCGTGGTGTCATCCATGAAGGACTTTATGTATATAAAACACATAGACGCATGCAAGCAAACAAATACACACTTATACAAAAACACACATATATGCACATACACAAAGGTACAAACGCGCTCGCAAAGGAGCACGCATCTAATCAATCAGCTAAACGGCATGCGACGGAAAATAAGCTTTCTTCTTGAAAATATTTAAATTAGCACTTGATGTATTTTAAACCGCTAATTATCCGTTAATAAAGACTAAATAAGAGAATTTTATCCATCTGAACTTTTAAATTCTTGATAAAGTATATAAATATCGAGGCTGACGGTCAAATTTGTTCTACGTCTCTCCGATGTAGTCCCAATTTAATCGATTTGTTTTTGCCGTTGCGGGCTGATGGTGTGTTTATCTGCCGTTATTATTACATAACTACATATATATATAATCTTATACAGAAGTATGATTTACTTTTGTGTACACACACACACACACACACACCACACACACACACACACACACACACACACACACACACACACACATCGAACCAAATAAAATATGTAAATAAGTTTTTATAGTCAGAAGTGGAGTCAAGTATTTTATTATTGCAATAATAATAATAATAATAATTGTAATAATATAATCAATAAAAAATTGTATTTTATTCATTTTTATGTCTGGAGTAATGAAAATATATGCGAAACTTATAACATCTTTTTAATATCATAACTTATAATTTATTTATTATTTCTAACAACACTGATAATAACAACTCTCTAAAAATACGACTTGTTTATTAAATTTTATCACACACACACACACAACACACACACAACACACACACACACACACACATATATATATATATAATATATATATATATATATATATATACACGCACACACAAACATAAACACGTACATACACACATAGATAAAAAGATACACACATACATATACATACATCATCATCATTACATAAATGAATTGAATGATAAACAAACATTGATAAGAACATTATCTGTATTTATTTACACATTTATTTATGAATGTCAACCCTTTTAAAAACTTGTAGTCGTTCATTTTGGTATAATAAAATACTTAATACAGAGAATCTTTAAAATACACAGTTAGATGTTATACTGAGTTGTATGAGGTCATATTGTGCTATAGAGAAGTTATTTTTCGCAACGATCGCTTATGCGTTATGTGTTGAATACTGTAGATGTATAGAAATCTATTATAAATAAATGAAACTGATGATGGATAACGACATTTAACTTGATATTTTCTGTTAATGTGGTTAAAATTATGAAAGTTATTTTAAGAAAGAAATTTGTTAGCATTTTAGATTTTAGTTGGAAATTTAAATATGGAAAAAAATAACAACAACTTCGATGTTATGGAAGTTAGTGTAAGCAAAGTTGGCAGCATCAACAACAACAACAACGACAACAGCAACAACAACATTGAAAATATTAATAATGGCGATAATAATGATGACAGCAATAGCATTAAAAATTGCAATAACGCTAAAAACATAGCCAGCAATAACGGTCACAAAAGATACATCAAGAAGACCAAACAAATTAGCATTGGTAGTAAGAAAAATGATGATGATGATAGCAATAACAACAACAGTAACATCAACAACGACAACATAATCAACAATAACAATAATGACAACAAAAACAACAACAGCAATAATGATGGTGGTAATGTTGGCAAGAGTAGATTCAACAAGTCTCCGACCTTATCATCATCTGCTGTCTCAAGATTTTTCACTATCTCAAAAGTTCAACCTATGGAATCGGCCTTGGGTTATACGGAAACATTGGTTTGTTTTTGTTGTTGTTGTTGCCACTGCTCTTGTTGTTGTTGCTCTTGTTGCTGTTGCTCTTGTTGTTGCTCTTGTTGTTGCTCTTGTTGTTGTTTTCAGTGTTGTCGTTGTTAATGTGATTGGTGATATCGTTGATTTTGTCGTTGATTAATTGATGCGATTGTGGTTGTTTTCGCAGTACTTCATGTATTGATGTGATTTTAGTTGCTGTCATTGCAACTGTTGGAATAACGGTGTGGCTGTGTCTTTGGTCTAGACATCGTTCATGCTGTTGTTAGTTTTGTGTTTACCAATTTGATAGGATGTCTCATCGATGAAACGGCTTTTACTGATCAGATGTTGTTATTGTACGTGTCAAATTTCGTTAATGAAAGATTGTTTTTTGAAGTTTGTTTTAAAGTAGTCTTTAAGCACTCACTCAAAAAATGTTTGTAATACACATAACCGATCAGAAAACTAACAAACCAACCTACCAACCAACCATCCAACCAAACAAAACAACCAACCAAACAATTAACCAACCAACCAATCAGATTGATCAATTGACCAACCAATCAACTAACCATTCAATCGACCAACCAACTCACCAATCAATAAACTAACTAACCAACCATTCAACCAACCAACCAATCAACCAACCAATCCAACCAATCAACCAACCAACAATTCAACCAACAAACCATCCATCCAATCAACCATCCATCCTACCAACCAACCAATACTACTACGACAGATGCATGGGCATTACGCCACTACTCGTCTAAGAAAGATGTTGAAACAGGAGCGATTGAAACTCCAACAGGACTCCAGCGACCTCTCACATCGGGTGGATGATGGCAAAGAGGAACAAAACGCCGAAGATGATGGAGTTAATGCGTCTGATGGGCCAAGGTTTTATGGGAAAAGTTTAGTATAATTTGTAATTTATAGTTTGCTTAATTTATTATTTATTAATATAATTTATGAATAAATTAATATAATTTAAATGATATAGTATCCGCTAATGTCATCATCGTAAAATAGATAGTTATCCTTATCTCATTATCATCTTATCATTATCATCAACATCATTTCAGTATCATTAGATAGATATCAACTTATTTTTCATCATTACATCTTCATTATCGCATTTTCAGTATCATCAAAATGAATATCACACAGGCATCACCAACCCACCATCATTCCACCACCGTCTTTTTGACACCACCGCCTCACCATTACGCCAGCTTCACCATTAAATTATCCCACCATCACCATTACATCACTATTTTATCATCACACCATACCAATTAAATCACCACATCTCACTCAGGCGCAAAAAAACGCTGGCATATAATAAGTAGCAGAGACTTGCAAGACTGGTCGTTCCTCACCTGCTTAGGCATTGTGGTAGCACTGCTCAGTTTTGTCATCGACGTCTTTGTCGAAATCAGTGTTTATGGTTAGTATTTTTAACATTCGTTGTTATTGTGTACTTTCTTTTTATTAAATAAGCAAATTTTTTGACAGTACAAAGACAACGCATATAAGCATGGGATATGTGAGGATTTCTTTGCATTCAAAGCGAGTCACTTCATCAGTAGAACCAACCGCCTCGACCATTACACCACAAACTCGCACGGTGCACACGTGAAAACTTGCGTA